TCTTTGAAATAAACGAAATCAATTACTATTAATCAAATCATAGTCAAAACAATAAAATGAGGAGGAAACGACGTACTTTAATTCCATTAGCAAGAGCTCAAATGCGGAGATAAACGTATACATACACCTTGATCTCAATTCCTCATTTGAAGTTCTAGCTTCGAGGTTCATTGAGCATCTCTTGTAATTTCTTTTTGTAAATTAAAGATGTGACTTAATAATTCATATCGTTCGTCTTAATGATATTAACATAATTGCATGCATCTTGGAATTTTCAAGCTACGAGTAGTGACAATGCTATTTTATTTTCTACTTTCATCTTTTGCTGGTATTTAATTTGTGAAGACATGTACTAGTGTACTACTTATGTGTAAATTATTACAGGGAATTTTTCACTACATTCCAACTTTCATTTTAAACGATGTTACGATTCAAATTACGAAAATTGACATACTTGACGTGAATATATATACTCACATATCCATTTAATGGAATTGGTGATTCTTATAATTATTATAGACTAGAGATAAAGTGGACTTACTCGCTTATGCACAGTTACTCACCCCTATATTGAGTCACATGACACATTATCAAACAAATTAAGCATAATTACTTGCATTACATGGGACATTATGAGCCCCTTCGGTAGCAAGAAAATCTGATGCAAGAAAATCTGATGATTTGGCTGATTCTGTTGAAATTTATGAGATTCTGGCTGAAGTGATTGCATGGGCTGATTCTGCCTATTTGTAAAAAATTATTTTTAAAATATATTTCATTAATAAAATAAAGAAAAAATTATATGTAAAAATAACTAAAATGGTCATCTACAGTAACTTCAACCAATACAGCCAGAAAGTAACTTCAACCTTACTTTTTCTGCTTATTACACAATTCAGCGCGTGAAAGCAAAAGTTACGTGTTTGGTAAAAAGTTGGCTGATAAGTCTGATAAGCCGAAAAACAGTGTTACCAAACGACCTCTATAATTTTAATTGGGTGAGAAATAAAATAAATAAAATTATAAATTCGTTACTTTAAATATTAAACTCACTGTAAAAAACAATCGATGTGACCTTGACATGAATTGATCGAATTTGACACAAATCATAGCGTATTGTTTGTCTCGACACTAGGGCAGATAGTGGCAAAACAACATTGACATGGAATTTAACATATTTGTGTTATATCCATGTCAAAATCCGTGCTAAATTTGCTCAATTTTTTATTCTTTTCTAGTGACAGCCATCACTTTAGGCTTTTTGTGGTCAGCACACATCCAACCGGCCACCCAAAGTGCAGAATAGACTATTCATTGCATTCAAACGTTCAAAGAACATAGACACATAATAAGATTTCTAAATTCACAATAATATGACATTGACATGCAAGTCACGTGTTCTCCTTTAAAGTTTGTCCCACTTTAAGTCCCACTTTTATTTATTCTCCTGAACAGCCAAACATAAAAGTTTGTGAACAACATCTAAGGCAATACGGAGTATGTTTTAAACAATTAAACAAACTTTAAGATCATGTTTTCTTTATTTGTTAATAAATTGTTTGTGTCGTAATCGCTTATGATCCACGTGAATCACATGATTAGCAACTTAAAGTTTTAAAGTGTTGTTTGGTAACGGATACATTAAGTATTAACAAGAGTTAATTTTTGCACAAATAGGACCAAAATACAAATTATGTTCCCATTGGACTATTTATATGTGTCTTGGACAAATATACCCTTATAGCTATTGGAATGTTTTAATTCATAATAAAATAATTAAAAATAATAAAAATTCATAAGAAATACCAAAAAATTAATAAATATATTTTAAATAATACGGAGTAATAAAATTGAAAAGAAAAATTGCAAAAAAAAAATCATTGCCGCCTCTGCCGCCCCAGCACCACCACCTCCAGTCATATGGGAAAAAAATGTCAAATTAATTATGAATGCCATATTTTTGGCAGAAGTAAGAATGATTCAAGTTGGCATTCCCAAAGAGAAATATGTCATTTTTTGGCATTTTCCGAAAAATGGCAGTTTTTAGTAAATATGGCTTTTTTTAACAGCCGTAGGCGGTGATGCAGGGAGGCAGTACCACCACCTCCTGTAAAAGGGGGAAAAATATCAAATTCATTACGAATGTCATATTTTTGGCAGAAGTCGAAAGGATTCAAGTTGACAGAATGAAAGTGTTGGCACAAGTCAAAAGGAACCAGAGTAATATGCCACTTTTTTGGAATTTAAAAAAAAGATGGCATTTTTTACACCGATCGGAGGTGGTGGTGCAGGGAGGTAGTACAGGCGGTGGGAGAGGCATCCATTTTTTTTTTATTTTTTTTATGGAGTTTTACTATTTTTTTTATTAATTTTCAAAAAAAATAATTTTTTTTATAAAAAATTTCTTAATTTTTTATTATTTTTCTACGAATTTTTAAAAAAAATTCGAATTAAACATTTAATTATTACTTTTTATTATGTTTTACTCATATTTAAATGAGGGGTAAGAATTGAATGAAGAAATAAGTATGTTTTCAATATGACCAATATGGTTCTATTTTCAAATAAAAAAAACATACAAGTCCTATTTTGAGTTTTTGCCATTGTTTTAGTCCTATTTGAAGGCAGTCAAATGATTTTTTGAAGATAAATGCGAAGTTAAACAGCGCAGTACATTTCGGAAAATCATTTGACTGTCTTCCCGGTTGAGTTTTTAGCTGAAATTTGGTATGGGTAAACTAGACTTAATGAAGAAGATGCTCAAAAAATTTCATCAAAAAATTCCACCGAAGACCGCCCCAATTAGCGACGACCGGGCAGAACCTCCTATATAAGTGGCTAATTGAACACTTTAAGTTAGTTCAAGGGTATATTTGACCCTTTAGCCTAATTTATATTAACAACCATGTATCCACTCTTATACCCACCATGTTTGTTAAGATTTTTTTGTCTCTGAATCCGGTTCACAGATAAAATATGTGTTATTTTGTCTATGCAAATTTTGTGCAAACAAAATATAGTTTGCGAACGGAACTCACAGACTTAAAAAAAAAATCACAAACACAAGTTAATGTAAAAGTGAATATAAAAGTAAGTATAAACATCATTTTTGTTCCATCTCTAGTACAACTCAATATAATTAATGCTGAGACTGCCCTCATTGATCATTCACGTCTCAATTGAAGAAAGTTTTGCTCTTTATATCCATCATTAATAAGTTCACACTATCGCACCTTCACATAAGGTTAAACCAAGCCAAGACTTCCTAAAACACTGAGACTAGAAATAGACATCTCAGATTAGACATCTCAGATTATTCAATAGAATTAGCTAACAATATGTATTAAGATAGATTCAATCACAATCTTCGAAACGATTCCATCACAATTTCGAATTTGCCAGTAGTAACGAATATCTGGTTACGTATGCTAATAGGCTATGATCAAACGTCACTGTATTCAAGTGAATTATTTTATAGCCGTTCCTAATTCCTATGGTATTTGTGTTAAAAAGAACTAAAAAGTAGCTAGACATACTGATTGTAGCTATGTTAATTTTGAAAATAACCATAAAAATGTTAAAATGGTTTTAACTGGTTTATGAATTACGTAAAGTAGAGGAAAATAAGAAACCCGAATTGGGGCCTTAATTAATTTTAAATTAAATATGCACACTCAAGGGATCCACACCAATTCAACAAAATGGTGGTGGAGATATGATCTCAAATAATTTTTTAGCAGAGTGATTTAATGTCTGGCGTGTATAAAGAGTTCATGAATAAACTCGCATACTATCGTAAACACGAGACCTTATCTCGTACGCAGTCTCCGTTGAGCTACTCGATCATATCGGGGATTCCACATGCAAACTATGTAATACCTATACCACGGGTGAGAAATTAATCAAAGTATCAGTGTATCACATTATTGTTAATTCGAAATCTCCAAATTGCATTTCTGGAAAATTAAAGCGACTCTCTCCTTTCTAGCTAAAAGTCACATTCATACATACATAGATAGCTTAAAGGCACGCAATACAATTTAATGCACATCGTAACGTAGTACATATGAGTGGTGACAACTCAATAAGGTTACGATGCAGCCATCTCTCATCAGCCATGTGTGGATGGATTGTTACTTATTATTTTAATTAATTTAGTCTTATAACTAGTTTGCTTTATTTTCGTTAAGGCCCTCATGGGGTAGGGGTTGTTGGCCCACATAAGTAATTTCTTTAGGTCCATTATTTTCTTACTTACAATCAGACGGCAATTGGTATTTCGGGTATTTGAAACTGGTTCTACTTCTGCTTCTGCATCTTTCTTATAGCAGAAGCAGAATTAAAATCAGTTTTCAGGAGTTGGTCTCCCACATTTTCTAAAAAAACTGATTCTAAGAGTAAATTAGAGCACTATAATGACTTCTGCACTTTCATACAAACACTTCAACTTCTGTTTTAAGAATCAGATCCAAACAACCCCTGGTAATATAGGAACTATACAGACACTAACACACGGATGCGGAACATTTTACATAGTCTTAAGAGACAAAGAGTTGGCATATAGCAAGACTGATAATACGGAAACATATGTCATCAGAGGCTTTAAGGCTTGTTTGGTTATTTACGTATTACAGAGTGAAAAATGCTAGAGGTACACGTTTTGTGTACACGTTTGGTGTACACTTGTCTGTCCTTCACAGACAAATTGTCTGTGAAGGACAGACAAGTGTACACCAAACGTGTACACAAAACGTGTACCTCTAGCATTTCTCATTACGGAGTATAATATTGCATTGCAAACAATCCATGTAAAAATTAGATAAACAAACCCTTTGAACTAGAGTTTTACCTCTCCACCACATAAGCTACTTTACATGATGCAATGTTTAAAACAAATATTCTATAATTTATGTTAAGTAATGAAAGTAAAATTATGACAAAGTTAGTGGAACAACCAAAAAGAAAAGTTGACAAAATCTTAATGAATGAAAGGAGTATAATAATAATGTAAATAAGTAAAGTTAGAGTTATTTTTATGACTGAATATTTTTAACTATACACAAACACTCCTATATTTCATTAATTTAGTTTCTTTAATTTATTGATAGAATATTTTTTATTTAACTTTTTGACAATTGATCGAATACATTCAGTCACTTAAATGTTTTCAAGGTAACTTAAATTCGAATGTATTAAGCCCATTTAAATAACTTTAGTATTACTAAAAAAAGATGACACTCCATCTCTAGAGATCCCTGTAATCGATCGAACAATTATTTGAGATGATGCAGTTGAATTTTAATCACTTTCTGGAAGGAAGGAATTACATAGTTTTCATTCTAAGCATGGAGTTGAACTTGAGATTTCTCCCCCTTTGTACACAATCTTACCAGATGAGCAACTCCCCCGCCCCGTTAATAGCATTAGTATTACTAAACGAGCTAGGGTCCTAGTCCTAGCCAGTCAGATTGCTAGCTATTTGGCTTGCTCTATTTATTTACGGACTATAAATGAAAACATCACTAGAGCTAGACGAGTTCCAAATAGAGGAGGAGCGATAGTGCGGGTGGAAGGAAGGAGTTACATACGTTTCCGGCCTACACTACCTCGCTAGCTAGCTGCAATTCCTTAGACCAGCCGTCGGACGACCACCGGGTACGCCATCCCTTACATCATTTCTAGAATACCATTATTATATAGTGGGAAAAGGTGCAAATAAGCTCATGTACTAACTAAAAAAGGTCAAATAAGCCCTTATTTAGAAGTATGACCCTTATATGAGTCACATGACACATTATCAAACAAATTAAGCAAAATTACTTGCATTACATGGGACATTATGAGTACGTTTGGTAGCACGAAAATCTGTTGATTTGACTGATTCTGTTGAAATTTATGAAATTCTGGCTGAAGTGGTTGCATGGGCTGATTCTGCCGATTTGTAAAAAATTATTTTTAAAATATATTTCATTAATAAAATAAGGAAAAAATTATATATAAAAATAGCTAAAATGGTTATCTACAGTAACTTCAACAAATACAGCCAGAAAGTAACTTCAACCTTACCTTTTCTGTTTATTACACAATTCAGTGCGCGAAAGCAAAAGTTACGTGTTTGATGAAAAGTTGGCTGATAAGTCTGATAAGCCGAAAAACAGTGTTGCCAAACGACCTCTATAATTTTAATTGGGTGAGAAATAAAATAAATAAAATTATAAATTCATTACTTTAAATATTAAACTCAAAAACTATTGATGTGACCTTGACACAAATTGATCGATTTTGGCACGAATCATGGCGTATTGTTTGTCTCGACACTAGGGCAGATAGTGACAAAACAACATTGCCATGGAATTTAACATATTTGTGTTATATCCATGTCAAATATTCTATAAATTAATTATGATGAATCTGTGTCAAAATCCGTGCTAAATTTGCTCAATTTTGTATTCTTTTCTAGTGACAAAGCCATCACTTTAGGCTTTTTGTGGTCAGCACACATCCAACCGGCCACCCAAAGTGCAGAATAGACTATTCGTTGCATTCAAACGTTCAAAGAACATAGACACATAATAAGATTTCTAAATTCATAATAATATGACATCGACATGCAAGTCACGTGTTCTCCCCTCTTTTTGTCCCACTTTTATTTAAGCAGTGTTTGCGGTCGTTTAAAAAAGCATTTTTCAGCTTTTGACTTAAAAAAAGCTAAAAAGAGTGTTTTTAAATGACAGCTTCTGCTTAAATTAATCACTTAAAAGCTTAAAGTTGGAAGCAGGTGGAAGGGTGCTTTAAACTGCTTTTCACTTTTTCTTTTACCCAAAAAGTACTTATTTTACTAAACATTACCAACTTTTACTTTTTCAGAATCACTTTTTTCTCAAACACTACCAACTTTTACTGTTAATCACTTTTCCGAAAATCACATTAAAAAAATCACTTTTTTAAAGTTGAAGCAATTGCAAACACTCCCTTATTCTCCTGAACAGCCAAACATAAAAGTTTGTGAACAACATCTAAGAGCAATATGTTTTGGTATTCTCATGAGTTTGTGAACAAACAAACAACATCAGGAGCTGGTCTCCCATATTTTCTAAAAAAACTGATTCTAAGAGTAAATTAGAGCACTATTGATGGATAGTCTACCCGGGGGTATCTTATCCGAGGGGTTATTGCGGGAATAACTAGAGAGAAGTCAGAGCGAAATAAGAGGAGAGAGAGTCGATTGTATTAAATGAACTCAGCGTGGTTTACAAGGTGAAGAAGGGCTGCTATTTATAGCAGCAATAAATGCGATGAGAGTACACGTGTCAACAATCCAACGGCCGAGGGGTCACATCAATCGGGTGGCACTGGCAGTGGCATGTTCACCGCATTGAATGCGGTGGGTGGATGTGACGTCGTATTAAATGTGGTGGTTGGCTGCCTCCAAAGGGAATCTTCGATGATTGAGCCTATTTGGCCGAGGGCTCCTCGAGTAGCCGAGGTCTCTGTTCTTCACCCGAGGGCTTCTCTAATGCCGAAGGCTTCACAGTGCCGAAGGCTCCTGTTTTCTTCCGTTTTCTCCCAGTAGCTTCGTATGTCGGAAAAGTCTATGCTGTGAGTTTTGGAGCCTTCGGCCAAGGAGGCCGAAGGCACCCCAGTGTGTACTTCGGGCTTCTTTGAGGCTTGGGCCGTTGTATTTGGGCCTCTGATGCTCCCTGGGCTTAATGGCTTTTGTGGGAGAAGCAGGAGTCTATGGGCCGGGGGTTCCTGGGCCATATATTCCATCAACTATAATGACTTCTGCACTTTCAACCAAACACTTCAACTTCTGCTTTAAGAATCAGATCCAAACAACCCTCGGTAATATAGGAACTATACACACACTAACACACGGATGTGGAACATTTTACATAGTCTTAAGAGACGAAAAAGTTGGCATATAGCAAGACTGATAATACGGAAACGTATGTCATCAGAGGCTTTAAGGCTTGTTTGGTTATTTACGTATTACGGAGTATAATATTGCATTGCAAACAATCGCATGTAAAAATTAGATAAACAAACCCTTTGAACATAGAGTTTTACCTCTCCACCACATAAGCTACTTTACATGATGCAATGTTTAAAACAAATTTTCTACAATTTATGTTAAGTAATGAAAGTAAAATTATGACAAAGTTAGTGGAACAACAAAAAAGAAAAGTTGACAAAATTTTAATGAATGAAAGGAGTATAATAATAATGTAAATAAGTAAAGTTAGAGTTATTTTTATGACTGAATATTTTTAACTATACACACATACTCCTATATTTCATTAATTTAGTTTCTTTAATTTATTGATAGAATATTTGTTATTTAACTTTTTGACAATTGATCGAATACATTCAGTCACTTAAATGTTTTCAAGGTAACTTAAATTCGAATGTATTAAGCCCATTTAAATAACTTTAGTATTACTAAGAAAAGATGACACTCCATCTCTAGAGATCCCTGTAATCGATCGAACAATTATTTGAGAAGATGCAGTTGAATTTTAATCACATTCTGGAAGGAAGGAATTACATAGATTTCATTCTAAGCGTGGAGTTGAATTCGAGATCTCTCCCCCTTTGTACATAATCTTACCAGATGAGCAACTCCCCCGCCCCGTTAATAGCATTAGTATTACTAAACGAGCTAGGGTCCTAGTCCTAGCCAGTCAGATTGCTAGCTATTTGGCTTGCTCTATTTATTTACGGACTATAAATGAAAACATCACTAGAGCTAGACGAGTTCCAAATAGAGGAAGACCGATAGTGCGGGTGGAAGGAAGGAGTTACATACGTTTCGGGCCTATACTACCTTGCTAGCTAGCTGCAATTCCTTAGACCAGCCGTCGGACGACCACCGGGTACGCCATCCCTTACATCATTTCTAGAATACTATTATTATTATATAGTGGGAAAAGGTGCAAATAGGTTCATGTACTAACCAAAAAAGGTCAAATAAGCCCTTATTTAGGAGTATGACCCCTATATGAGTCACATGACACATTATCAAACAAATTAAGCTTAATTACTTGCATTACATGGGACATTATGAGCCCGTTTGGTAGCACAAAAATCTGCTGATTTGGCTGATTCTGTTGAAATTTATGAAATTCTGGCTGAAGTGGTTGCATGGGCTAATTATGCCGATTTGTAAAAAATTATTTTTAAAATATATTTCATTAATAAAATAAAGAAAAAATTATATGTAAAAATAGCTAAAATGGTCATCTACAGTAACTTCAACCAATACAGCCAGAAAGTAACTTCAACCTTACTTTTTCTGTTTATTACACAATTCAGCGCGCGAAAGTAAAAGTTACGTGTTTGGTGAAAAGTTGACTGATAAGTCTGATAAGCAGAAAAACAGTGTTGCCAAACAAACCTCTATAATTTTAATTGGGTGAGAAATAAAATAAATAAAATTATAAATTTGTTACTTTAAATATTAAACTCAAAAACAATTGATGTGACCTTGACACGAATTGATCGATTTTGTCACGAATCATAGCGTATTGTTTGTCTCGACACTAGGGCAGATAGTGACAAAACAACATTGACATGAAATTTAACATATTTGTGTTATATCCATGTCAAATATTCTATAAATTATGATGAATCTGTTTCAAAATTCGTGCTAAATTTGTTCAATTTTTTATTCTTTTCTAGTGACAAAGCCATCACTTTAGGCTTTTTGTGGTCAGCACACATCCAACCGGCCACCCAAAGTGCAGAATAGACTATTCGTTGCATTCAAACGTTCAAAGAACATAGACACATAATAAGATTTCTAAATTCATAATAATATGACATCGACATGCAAGTCACGTGTTCTCCCCTCTTTTTGTCCCGCTTTTATTTATTCTCCTGAACAGCCAAACATAAAAGTTTGTGAACAACATCTAAGAGCAATATGTTTTAACTTTTAAACAATTAAACAAACTTTAAGATCATGTTTTCTTTATTTGTTAATAAATTGTTTGGGTCGTAATCGCTTATGATCCACGTGATTCACTTAAAAATAATAAAAATTCGTAAAAAAAATACCAAAAAAATAATAAAAATATTTTAAATAATACGGAGTAATAAAATTGAAAAAAAAATTGCAAAAAAAAAATCACCGCCGCCTCTGCCGCCCCAGCACCACCACCTCCAGTCATATGGGAAAAAAATGCAAAACTAAGTATGAATGCCATATTTTTGGCAGAGGTAAGAATTGAATGATTCAAGTTGGCATTCTCAAAGAGAAATATGCCATTTTTGGCATTTTCCGAAAAAATGGCAGTTTTTAGTAAATATGGTTTTTTTTAACAGCCGTAGGCGGTGGTGCAGGGAGGCAGTACCACCACCTCCTGTAACCGGGGGAAAATGCCAAATTCTTTACGAGTGTCATATTTTTGGCAGAAGTCGAAAGTATTCAAGTTGACAGAATGAAAGTGTTGGCACAAGTCAAAAGGATCAAAGAGTAATATGCCATTTTTTTGGAATTTAAAAAAAAAGATGGCATTTTTTACACCGATCGGAGGTGGTGGTGCAGGGAGGTAGTACAGGCGGTGGGAGAGGCATCCATATTTTTTTTATTATGGAGTTTTACTATTTTTATGAATTTTTTGAAAAAAAATAATTTTTTTTTGATTTTTTATTTTATAAAAAATTTCTTAATTTTTTATTATTTTTCTAAGAATTTTTAAAAAAATTTCGAATTAAACATTTAATTATGACTTTTGATTATGTTTTACTCATATTTAAATGAGGGGTAAGAATGGAATGACGAAATAGGTATGTTTCCAATAGGACCAATATGGTCCTATTTTCGAATAAAAAAAACATACAAGTCTTATTTTGAGTTTTTGCCATGGTTTTAGTCCTATTTGAAGGCAGTCAAATGATTTTTTGAAGATAAATGCGAAGTTAAACAGCGCAGTACATTTCGGAAAATCATTTGACTGCCTTCCCGGTTGAGTTTTTAGCTGAAATTTAGTATGGATAAACTAGACTTAATGAAGAAGATGCTAAAAACATTTTATCAAAAAATTCCACCGGGAACCGCCCCAATTAGCGACGGCCGGGCAGAACCTCCTATATAAGGGGCTAATTAAACATTTTAAGTTGGTTCAAGGGCCTATTTGACCCTTTAGCCTAATTTATATTAACAACCATGTATCCACTCTTATACCTACCATGTTTGTTAAGATTTTTTTGTCTCTGAATCCGGTTCACAGACAAAATATGTGTTATTTTGTCTATGCAAATTTTGTGCAAACAAGATATTATTTGAGAACGGAACTCACAGACTAAAAAATATTTCACAAACATAAGTGAATATAAAAGTGAATATAAAGGTGAGTATAAACATCATTTTTGTACCATCTCTAGTACAACTCAATATAATTAATGCTGAGACTGCCCTCATTATTCATTCACGTCTCAATTGAAGAAAGTTTTGCTCTTTATATCCATCATTAATAAGTTCACACTATCGCACCTTCACATAAGGTTAAACCAAGCCAAGACTTCCTAAAACACTGAGACTAGAAATAGACATCTCAGATTAGACATCTCAGATTATTCAATAGAATTAGCTAACAATATGTATTAAGATAGATTCAATCACAATCTACGAAACGATTCAATCACAATTTCAAATTTGCCAGTAGTAACAAATATGGAGGATCAAACGTCACTGTATTCAAGTGAATTATTTTATAGCCGTTCCTAATTCCTATGGTATTTGTGTTAAAAAGAACTAAAAAGTAGCTAGACATACTGATTGTAGCTATGTTAATTTTGAAAATAACCATAAAAATGTTAAAATGGTTTTAACTGGTTTATGAATTACGTAAAGTAGAGGAAAATAAGAAACCCGAATTGGGGCCTTAATTAATTTTAAATTAAATATGCACACTCAAGGGATCCACACCAATTCAACAAAATGGTGGTGGAGATATGATCTCAAATAATTTTTTAGCAGAGTGATTTAATGTCTGGCGTGTATAAAGAGTTCATGAATAAACTCGCATACTATCGTAAACACGAGACCTTATCTCATACGCAGTCTCCGTTGAGCTACTCGATCATATCGGGGATTCCACATGCAAACTATGTAATACCTATACCACGGGTGAGAAATTAATCAAAGTATCAGTGTATCACATTATTGTTAATTCGAAATCTCCAAATTGCATTTCTGGAAAATTAAAGCGACTCTCTCCTTTCTAGCTAAAAGTCACATTCATACATACATAGATAGCTTAAAGGCACGCAATACAATTTAATGCACGTCGTAACGTAGTCCATATGAGTGGTGACAACTCAATAAGGTTACGATGCAGCCATCTCTCATCAGCCATGTGTGGATGGATTGTTACTTATTACTTTTAATTAATTTAGTCTTATAACTAGTTTGCTTTATTTTCGTTAAGGCCCTCATGGGGTAGGGGTTGTTGGCCCACATAAGTAATTTCTTTAGGTCCATTATTTTCTTATTTACAATCAGACGGCAATTGATATTTGGGTTATTTGAAACTGGTTCTACTTCTGCTTCTGCATCTTTCTTATAGCAGAAGCAGAATTAAAATCAGTTTTCAGGAGCTGATCTCCCACATTTTCTAAAAAAACTTATTCTAAGAGTAAATTAGAGCACTAGAATGACTTCTGCACTTTCACCCAAACACTTTAACTTCTGCTTTAAAAATCAGATCCAAACAACTCCTTGGTAATATAGGAACTATACACACACTAACACACGGATGTGGAACATTTTACATAGTCTTAAGAGACAAAGAGTTGGCATATAGCAAGCTAGACTGATAATACGGAAACATATGTCATCATAGGCTTTAAGGCTTGTTTGGTTATTTACGTATTGCGGAGTATAATATTGCATTGCAAACAATCGCATGTAAAAATTAGATAAACAAACCCTTTGAACATAGAGTTTTACCTCTCCACCACATAAGCTACTTTACATGATGCAATGTTTAAAACAAATTTTCTACAATTTATGTTAAGTAATGAAAGTAAAATTATGACAAAGTTAGTGGAACAACCAAAAAGAAAAGTTGACAAAATTTTAATGAATGAAAGGAGTATAGTAATAATCTAAATAAGTAAAGTTAGAGTTATTTTTATGACTGAATATTTTTAACCATACACACATACTCCTATATTTCATTAATTTAGTTTCTTTAATTTATTGATAGAATATTTGTTATTTAACTTTTTGACAATTGATCGAATACATTCAGTCACTTAAATGTTTTCAGGGTAACTTAAATTCGAATGTATTAAGCCCATTTAAATAACTTTAGTATTACTAAGAAAAGATGACACTCCATCTCTAGAGATCCCTGTAATCGATCAAACAATTATTTGAGATGATGCAGTTGAATTTTAATCACATTCTGGAAGGAAGGAATTACATAGGTTTCATTCTAAGCGTGGAGTTGAACTCGAGATCTCTCCCCCTTTGTACATAATCTTACCAGATGAGCTCCTCCCCGGCCCCGTTAATAGCATTAGTATGACTAAACGAGCTAGGGTCCTAGTCCTAGCCAGTCAGATTGCTAGCTATTTGGCTTGCTCTATTTATTTACGGACTATAAATGAAAACATCACTAGAGCTAGACGAGTTCCAAATAGAGGAGGAGCGATAGTGCGGGTGGAAGGAAGGAGTTACATACGTTTCCGGCCTACACTACCTCGCTAGCTAGCTGCAATTCCTTAGACCAGCCGTCGGACGACCACCGGGTACGCCATCCCTTACATCATTTCTAGAATACCATTATTATATAGCGGGAAAAGGTGCAAATAGACTCATGTACTAACCAAAAAAGGTCAAATAAGTCCTTATTTAGGAGTATGACCCCTATATGAGTCACATGACACATTATCAAACAAATTAAGCATAATTACTTGCATTACATGGGACATTATGAGCCCATTTGGTGGCATGAAAATCTGCTGATTTGGCTGATTCTGTTGAAATTTATGAAATTCTGGCTGAAGTGGTTGCATGGGCTGATTCTGCCGATTTGTAAAAAATTATTTTTAAAATATATTTCATTAATAAAATAAAGAAAAAATTATATGTAAAAATAGCTAAAATGGTCATCTATAGTAACTTCAACCAATACAGCCAGAAAGTAACTCCAACCTTACTTTTTCTGCTTATTACACAATTCAGCGCGCGAAAGCAAAAGTTACGTGTTTAGTGAACAGTTGGCTGATAAGTCTGATAAGTCTGATAAGCCGAAAAACAGTGTTGACAAACGACTTCTATAATTTTAATTGGGTGAGAAATAAAATAAATAAAATTTTAAATTCGTTACTTTAAATATTAAACTCAAAAACAATTGATGTGACCTTGACACGAATTGATCAATTTTGGCACGAATCATAGCGTATTGTTTGTCTCAACACTAGGGCAGATAGTGACAAAACAACATTGACATGGAATTTAACATATTTATATTTGTGTTATATCCATGTCAAATATTCTATAAATTATGATGAATCTGTGTCAAAATCCGTACTAAATTTGCTCAATTTTTTATTCTTTTCTAGTGACAAAGCCATCACTTTAGGCTTTTTGTGGTCAGCACACATCCAACCGGCCACCCAAAGTGCAGAATAGACTATTCGTTGCATTCAAACGTTCAAAGAACATAGACACATAATAAGATTTCTAAATTCATAATAATATGACATCGACATGCAAGTCACGTGTTCTCCCCTCTTTTTGTCCCACTTTTATTTATTCTCCTGAACAGCCAAACATAAAAGTTTGTGAACAACATCTAAGAGCAATATGTTTTAAACAATTAAACAAACTTCAAGATCATGTTTTCTTTATTTGTTAATAAATTGTTTGGGTCGTAATCGCTTATGATCCACGTGAATCACATGATTGGCAACTTAAAGTCTTAAAGTGTTGTTTGGTAACGGATACATCAAGTATTAACAAGAGTTAATTTTTGCACAAATAGGACCAAAATACAAATTATGTTTCCATAAGACTAATTATGTGTGTCTTGGACAAATATACCCTTATAGCTACTGGAATGTTTTAATTCATAATAAAATAATTAAAAATAATAAAAATTCGTAAAAATACCAAAAAATTAATAAAAATATTTTAAATAATACGGAGTAATAAAATTGAAAAAAAAATGCAAAAAAAAAATCGCCGCCGCCTCTGCCGCCCCAGCACCACCACCTCCAGTCATATGGGAAAAAAATACCAAATTAATTATGAATGTCATATTTTTAGCAGAGGTAAGAATGATTCAAGTTGGCATTCTCAAAGAGAAATATGCCATTTTTGGCATTTTCCGAAAAAATGGCAGTTTTTAGTAAATATGGCTTTTTTTAACAGCCGGAGGCGGTGGTGCAGGGAGGCAGTACCACCACCTCCTGTAACCGGGGGAAAAAATGCCAAATTCATTACGAATGCCATATTTTTGGCAGAAGTCGAAAGAATTCAAGTTGACAGAATGAAAGTGTTGGCACAAGTCAAAAGGATCAAAGAGTAATATGCCATTTTTTGGAATTTAAAAAAAGATGACATTTTTTACACCGATCGGAGGTGGTGGTGCAGGGAGGTAGTACAGGCGGTGGGAGAGGCATCCATATTTTTTTTTTATTTTTTTTATGGAGTTTTACTATTTTGTTATTAATTTAAAAAAAATTAATTTTTTTTGATTTTTTATTTTATAAAAAAATTCTTAATTTTTTTATTTTTGTACGAATTTTTTAAAAAAATCCGAATTAAACATTTAATTATGACTTTTGATTATGTTCTACTCATATTTAAATGAGAGGTAAGAATGAAATGAAAAATAGGTATGTTTCCAATAGGACCAATATGGTCCTATTTTCGAATAAAAAAACATACAAGTCCTATTTTGAGTTTTTGCCATTGTTTTAGTCCTATTTGAAGGCAGTCAAATGATTTTTTGAAGATAAATGTGAAGTTAAACAGCGCAGTACATTTCGGAAAATCATTTGACTGCCTTCTCGGTTGCGTTTTTAGCTGAAATTTGGTATGGGTAAACTAGACTTAATGAAAAAGAAGCTCAAAAAAATTCATCAAAAAATTCCACCAGGAACCGCCCCAATTAGCGACGGCCGGGCAGAACCTCCTATATAAGGGGCTAATTGAACATTTTAAGTTAGTTCAAGGGCCTATTTGACCCTTTAGCCTAATTTATATTAACAACCATGTATCCACTCTTATACCCACCATGTTTGTTAAGATTTTTTGTCTCTGAATCCGATTCACAGACAAAATATGTGTTATTTTCTCTATGCAAATTTTGTGCAAACAAGATATTGTTTGAGAACGGAATTCACAGACTAAAAAAAATTTCACAAACATAAGTGAATATAAAAGTGAATATAAGAGTGAATATAAACATCATTTTTGTACCATCTCTAGTACAACTCAATATAATTAATGGTGAGACTGCCCTCATTATTCATTCACGTCTCAATTGAAGAAAGTTTTGCTCTTTATATCCATCATTAATAAGTTCACACTATCGCACCTTCACATAAGGTTAAACCAAGCCAAGACTTATTAAAACACTGAGACTAGAAATAGACATCTCAGATTAGACATCTCAGATTATTCAATAGAATTAGCTAACAATATGTATTAAGATAGATTCAATCACAATCTTCGAAACGATTCAATCACAATTTCGAATTTGCCAGTAGTAACCAATATCTGGTTACGTATGTTAATAGGCTATGATCAAACGTCACTGTATTCAAGTGAATTATTTTATAGCCGTTCCTAATTCCTATGGTATTTGTGTTAAAAAGAACTAAAAAGTAGCTAGTCATGCTGATTGTAGCTATATTATGTTAATTTTGAAAATAACCATAAAAATGTTAAAACGGTTTTAACTGGTTTATGAATTACGTAAAGTAGAGGAAAATAAGAAACCCAAATTGGGGCCTTAATTAATTTTAAATTAAATATGCACACAATTAAATATGCACACGCAAGGGATCCACACCAATTCAACAAAATGGTGGTGGAGATATGATCTCAAATAATTTTTTAGCAGAGTGATTTAATGTCTGACGTGTATAAAGTGTTCATGAATAAACTCGCATACTATCGTAAACACGAGACCTTATCTCGTACTCAGTCTCCGTTGAGCTACTCGATCATATCGGGGATTCCACATGCAAACTATGTACTACCTCCGTCCCCCTAAATTTGGGACAAAGGTATGTAGTGTTGTTTTTAAGAAAAAGTAGAATTTTGTGGTTTGTATTGAATTGATAAAGTGTAAATAAAGTAGGAATGAATTCTAACCACTCAAATATTACCTAATATGGTATGGGACAAACTTAATGGGACGGACGAAAAAGGTAAAACGGGACAAAGTTAGGGGGATGGAGGGAGTAATACCTATGCCACGGGTGAGAAATTAATCAAAGTATCAGTGTATCATTGTTAATTCGAAATCTCCAAATTGCATTTCTGGAAAATTAAAGCGACTCTCCCCTTTCTAGCTAAAAGTCACATTCATACATACATAGATATCTTAAAGGCACGCAACACAATTTAATGCACGTCGTAACGTAGTCCATATGAGTGGTGACAACTCAGGGTCTGTTTGCAACAGCTTCTGCTTTTAAAAAAGTGTTTTTTTTAATGAAATGGAGAGAAGTGATTAAATAAAAGTTGATAGTGTTTGAGAAAAAAGTGATTTTGAAAAGTAAAAGTGGGTAGTGTTTGGTAAAATAAGTGCTTTTTGTGTAATAGAAAAAGTAAAAGCACTTTTGACGCGGAAGCCGAGAAAAATAAAAGTTGTAGTGTTTGGGAAAATAAGTGTTTTTTTAAAGTCAAAAGCTGAGAAGTACTTTTTTAAAAGGAGTTGCAAACCAACCCTAATCAGAAGTCAATAAGGTTACGATGACTTTTTTAAAATACGTACTTTTTTAAAATAAGTGCTTTTTTAAAGTCAATAAGGTTACGATTCAGCCAGTTCTCATCAGCCTTGTGGGGATGGATTGTTACTTCTTACTTTTAATTAATTTAGTCTTATAACTAGTTTGCTTTATTTTCGTTAAGGCCCTCATGGGGTAGGGGTTGTTGGCCCACATAAGTAATTTCTTTAGGTCCATTATTTTCTTATTTGTATGGGCTGATTCTGTCGATTTGTAAAAAATTATTTTTAAAATATATTTCATTAATAAAATAAAGAAAAAATTATATGTAAAAATAGCTAAAATGGTCATCTACAGTAAATTCTCTTATATAGTCGATCAAGTTGTTGCACAATTAAATTCTCATTTTGTTACGCTCGTCATGTAGAAATTAAAGAATCTTGAACATATAAAATTATATACTTACAAAATTCAAAATAAATTGACATTTGAATAACATACTAGTATATTGCATTAAAGCATATGAAATTAATTAATTACTTTTGTTTATAAAGTTTATAAAGTTTAACTAAACAAGTGATTGAGATTGATGAAGGGTTTTTCCCTTCAATATAACTAAATTAAAGCTACTTTCCTGAAATGTGACCTTTTTTCAAAAAGCCAAAAAAGTGACTAATAAGGTCACATATTTGCTTGAAATGTCACTGCTGGTGTCACTGTAACCGCTGGCTATGTCACTATAGCCACCGCCGATGTCACTGTAGCCATCACCCGTGTCATTGTAGTTACCGCCCATGTCACTGTAGCCACCGTCAGTGTCACTGTGGCCACCGCCCGTGTCACTGTAGCCGTCTGTGTCACTACACCGCAAAACGTGTCACTATGCCACAGGAAAAGTTTCCGACGACTTTTGACATCAAAATCTTCGTTGGAAACAATCAACTTACCGCCTCGACACCACCGCCATTGCGTGAGACGGCCTATGCCCTTACCCTAGCCCCCTTTTCTGCCCCCAGCCCCTCTCCTGCAACCACAACCAGTCAACCAGCCCCTAGCCCCTGCAACTACCACAACCAGCCCACCACCACCCACCTCCTCATCCCCAGACACATCACCATCCCCCAACCCCCATCCCCAGCCTCCTGCCCTGGCTCCATCCACCCTCCCCAACTCTAGATCTAATCAGATTCAACTCATCCCCTGCCTAGCCCCACTCCCAGCTCCTCAGTCCCCAGCCCCCTCCCTGCTCTTCCGCCCCATGTCATTCGGACAATTCGCCCAAAAAACACCACCGCACCACCACGGATCATTGTCGCACCCCAAATCAGAGTCATCTTCCATGGGGATGGCGAATCCGACATCGGCGGCCCTAAATCAGAAACGCCGCCCACTGAGGAAGATGGATCTGGAACCAGAGGCTTCAGTTCGGAGCCGTCGTCCACCGGAGGCGCGGTCAGTGAAGACATGAGAGAAGTTAGGCGAAGCTGATGGCGGATTGCGATGAAGGCTTAGAACGGAAGAGATGTAGAAGATGAAGTATGCAGGGCGGAAGAGATAGAGAAGATGCGACTAAGCGATACGGTAAAAGGGGAAGAGCAGCGGGCCGGGTCACTTTTGTGGTATTTTAAAAAATGGTCATATTTTTATCCAAGAGAAGTTGAGAAGTAATACTCATGCCATTCTTTCATTGATGAATTTAATTCTGGAATTCCAAAATCATAGTTAATGCTCTTACCCAAACGTAACCTAATGAAAAAAACTAAATAAATTTCTGCTAAATAAAATATATATACCCTAAACTCTATATATAAAAGATATTTTCGTATCATGATTCTATGCTTTTGTACAAATATAATTTATTAAAATAGTAAGCCACTATTGAGATTATACATAATCAAATTTTTGTTCTCTATCGTTCTCATTTATTCCTATTGTCAATTTGTCATGAAGTAGAAGATCAACGGCAGAGTGCGAATATAATGATAATGAAAGGAGTAAATTTGTCCAGTACTACAGTAGAGGAAATCTATGTAGCACCGATACGGATACGCGGAAACGCGGAAACGGGTACGGGGATACGACAAAACAAAAAAAAAGTAGGATACGGATACGGGGCCATATTTATAAATATTAAAAGTTATGGGGGTGTATTTATAAATATTAAAAGTTACAGGGGTGTATTTATAAATATTAAAAATGCCATCTTTTTTAAATAAACATATATCATCTTGTGACGTCTACTCGTTCATGGCATTGAAACATTTTACATTCGCAAAATACTTAGAAATAAGTTTATATTTTATCTCATATACACTAATGTATCTCGAAATATAATATAGTCAATAAGTCATTAATTTAAAATGAGAAATAAGTCAAACAACTGCAGTTTAGAAATGAAAAGTATAAGTACTCAAAGTTCTAGAATAATGAAGATAGATTACAATATTTTAAAAGTTCTAATACATATTTCCGTTGAAGCTATTAATTTTCAAGGATAATTAGAATTAGAGATAGGAGGATGAGTGAATTAAGAATAGGCCAATTAGTTGTGTACCACACAAAAGCAAAGTAAAAATTATTTTCAGTTTATCATTTTAAAAGAATTTTATTATGTAAATTTTGGATGTTTTCTATAAAAAAAAATTGGATTTTTTTGAAAAAGTTGATACGAGTATCCGTCAGGATACAAGTATCCGAAAATTTAAAATAATTACCAAAAAATGGAAACTTTTAAAAAAAATTCAGATAGGACTTGGAAACGTATGGTACGAATATCCTAGAGTATCGGATACGGGAATGTTTCCGATACGCCAATACGACACTCTAGTGAATTATCTGTGCTTCATAGGGGAAGTAGTCTCACAGTAAAAGCCTAAAAGGTGTAAATCGTGCATGATTCGTCCTTCGAAATTAATACTTGAGGAAGGGTTAACTGTAATCAAATTGAAAAGCTTTAAAGGACATTTCATATGCACCGAAATTTGGGAAATCGATTAAAAAAAAAGGAAAATTCTAAAGTTACCCCATTTTGTACCTCATTTTATACTCTTCCCTATTTTTGTGGTTCACAAAGGCAATGAATTAAAGTAAGACAATTATTTTGTTGGGTTGGGATTTTGTGAACTACTCAATAAGTGGGTACAAATGGGATACCCGATACCCAAAATGGGGTACCTCCGGCAAAACTAAAAAAAAGTATAGGATAAACAAATATAGTTGGGGTGACAAGGCACGAACTTTATAATCTTAGAAAACAAACACACGTCTTACATAGGTCGACGAACAGACCCCAAGAAAGGTGGTGGGTCAGTTGACCAGTCCGCGTGTGTAAGGTTCATGCATCTTTATCCGCCCGCCCTCTTTTCCAAAAGTTTCAGAAAAATTATCAGAGCGTACGCAGAAAAAAAAAAAAAACTTCCAACAAAACCAGCAGCCCACACCTTCAACATTAACACACTTGAAACCGCCTTCTCTGGTTGTTTATTATTTCCCAAATCTTCCACTCCACATCCAAACACCGATCACCTGCCATTTCTCTTCAGGTCTTCTCAATTTCGCATTTTTATTTTCTTTAAGTACGTAATGTGCTTCCTTCTTGCTTGGATTTGTACAAAGATTTGATTTTGGCATCTGGGTTTTGAATCCCCTGTGTCCCTTCTACCATTCATTATTCACTGAATTGTCTGAATTGTTCAAGTTCTTTTTTTGGGTATTTCTTTATGGCTGCAGAGAAGTGAGAAGTTTACTTAAAAAAACAAATTTAAGCAAAATGTTTTTTACGGAGTATTTTCTGAGCTCTGGGTATACATTGCTTAATTAGTCTCTTCTAAGAACCTTAAGAAGCTTGTTAGCTAGCTTGGAGGCCGCTTTAGTTCAGACCTATTTTTTGAGCCTGTTGAAGTTTCATAACTTATCCCATTAGGTATCTTGGAAGGCAGTTTTATGTTTTTGTTATTGTATCCAAAAAGTAAGGTGGGTTTAGTGTGTGACTTGTATCTAGATGGTTGATCGGAATGATTTTGAGGTTTAGCTGATATATATGGAAATTTCACCGTATATATCTAACTTCCTTCCATTTAACAAACTTTTGCATTTCCACCCATAGATATTTTGAATTGTGCTACAATTGGGCACTTCCCGTTGCTGCAAAACATCTGATTGAATTAAAGTTACTGGTGTAGTTGTATGACCAGGGGCGGGTGATGGCTTCCGCCCCTTTCTTGCCCAAAATGGAATAACGTATATCCAAGTTTGGTTGAGCACAAAGTTAGTTCCTCTCTTTTAAGGCATAAATTATAGTTATAACTTTTATAACAAAAATTATTATCTTATGAATATTAGGTCATTTCATTTTTTTATCAATCACTTTCATTTTTATCTTTTTGATACATGACTTTACATTTCTTGTCACTTTGAGTTCTTTTGCTCACTTATCTAAAGAACAGCTCTGGAAATTCTGTGGAAATTGGCGGGTTAGTGATACAGACAGAAGATAGTAAGAAATTCATTGTTATGCACCAAAAATGTAAAGAATTGAGAGCATTATCAAAAGTGAAAGGGAACTTATAGCAATGGGACACAAAATGGAATGGAATGCTTCCTATATTATTAGGCCAAACATGACTGGGAACTAAACATTAATTTCAAACTCTAGGGAAGGACTTTTCTGTTAATGGATGTAGAGTCTGCCTACAGAGTGGAGAACAAAGATGTCATTCAAGGGATGAAAGGTGCGTTGTGGCCTTTGGATGAAATAGATCCAAAGAACGGAAAGTTCCCATGTTGTTTGGTTTGGACTCCCCTTCCAGTAGTGTCATGGTTGGCTCCTTTTATTGGGCATGTTGGGCTGTGCAGGGAGGATGGGGCAGTGATTGACTTTACGGGTTCTGGCTTTATCAATGTTAACGACTTCGCATATGGCGCTGTGGCCAAATACCTTCAACTAGACAGAGATCAGGTACATACATTTTATGTTTTTTCTGGTGTGGTGTGGCTCGCCTTCCCTTTACTCTTTTATTGTGTGTAAAGCTAATACATAGCCGCATGATGAGTGTGATCACTTGATGTGTAATGCCTGATCCTTGATGATATACACATTCCTGTCATTCTATCCAACACCACCAAATATAAACTATACAAACTGAAGTATAGAACTTTAGACTACTCCTCTCTGGATAACTTTTGAGATGCAACCCGAGTTTTAACATGATATTAGATCCCACTAAGCTCAAAGGGTCAAGTCATCTTACACATGTTACATATAATGATATAAACTCATGTACAAGATCTTGGCTTACCATTTGACGTTTTAGAATAAAAACACATGTATTAATATATTTGTTTGAAAAAAGAGAAAATGTTAATCTACGTATAGCTTTTCTGTTCCAAAACAAGAATCCAATTGATTCAACATAGCTAATTTATATGTAGTTTTGTAAACAAAAAAGTATTCTCATTTCATTACACAAGTTTAAGTTAGCTTACCCCAAATTCTTTTGGTAATAAGGTTTGGATGTTGTTGTTGTAAACAAGTTTAAGTGTGATAAAATTACTCAAACAAACAAATATATATAGGTGTGATTCATGATTTATGACATTGTATCCTGTCAAAATTAACAAAATGTACGTTGGTCAAATGAGACTAATGAATAAATTGCTGATATGGTATATTTCTTACTCTCCCACTTGTGAATAAAATGCTTCCTGATGGTAATTGCATTGAAATCATGCATGACTGATTATGGAATTTAATGTGCAAACAGTGTTGTTTCCCGTCTAACCTTGCTGGGCATTCGTGCATTCATCGGTACAAGCATGCAGAGTTTGGAACAGCTATTAGTTGGGACGACACGATCCACTCCGGCATCCGCCAATTCGAGCACAAATCGTACAACCTCTTCACGTGCAACAGCCACTCCTTCATTGCCAACTGCTTGAACAGGATGTGCTACAAGGGATCAATGAATTGGAACATGATCAATGTCGCGGCTCTTGTTTTGCTGAAGGGGCGATGGGTCAACCTCCTCTCAGTTGTGAGGGCATTTTTCCCTTTCGTGTTTGTAGCTTGTTTGGGCATTTTTATGGTCGGGTGGCCTTTTTTTGTTGCGTTGTTTTCGTTTTCATTTCTCATTCTTGTATGGTTTGTTTTGGGAACATACTTCTTCAAAAACATATTGGAAGACTAAAATGAAAGAGAAACTCATTGTATTTCTCCTGACTTGTACTGTGACTAAACATTATACCTCGCTCGACACATCCGAACATGTAATCCTTTACTCAAATAAAAACAAAAAATCATTTTCTTTCTCCCGTTGGTTGCACAGATTACTGTGATTGATAGTCGAATTTTCTTTGAATATATTATTGGGGTTGGAAAGTTTTTCTATTCAATACTAAAAACATAAATACACTAGGACGAACTAGGCATGGACTCGGTTCGGGAACCGGCCCGGCTTGCTACTGTGCGGGACCGGCCCGGCCTGAGGGGGTAACCGGGGGCGGTTCCGGTCATGAAAAAGGTGAAACGGCCGGGTCGGGCCCGGTTTGGTCCCTTTTTTTGGTTTTTTGGGGGTTTGGGTTGGGTTAAGATTTCAATAGACTTGACTAGACTTCGAAAATTGTGAAATGCACAGATATTACACATCTATTAAACCTTACTTAAACAGACCAAATCAGAACAAATCAAATTAAAAAACTTCAGTCCAAGTAATAACTTAAACGTCTATAGTCATACCAAGTCCGTTTATTTAAAAAACGAGTCAAAATGGTAAAAATAATCTTGTATAACTATGTCAGGTATTGTATTCGATCTACATCTTCGCTATCCAATGGATTCATCTTGGGACTATTTTGAGATTGCATGCATAATTTGATATTCCACCCTTGATTTGTGGCTGCTTGAACAAATTCATAATCATGTGCAATAATGTGCGATCTTGCATTGTCTTGTTGTGTAAATATGTCCTTAGATAATAACCTTGACCACTTTAATTTGACTGGCTGAAGGAGTTGTTTGAGCAACATTTCTCTATAGACAAATTATAGACCGAAAGAATTGGTTTTGTATGTAAAGTATGTCTCATCATGTTCTTGCTATTTCTCGTCCTGACAAATATGTGAATATAGTTGTCAAACCCTTGAAAGGTGGGACATTTGAGTAAGGAAAAAGGGATTAAGCTGTTCAAAATTTTGTTTTCTTGAATGAGAAATGACTTTATAGTGCTTGTATGTGCATCTCTCATTGTCCCTCTCTGTTTCATCCTATGTATTGTCTTTGAGATATTGACAACATGAGAACTTGCTCTTATATTTGTTTGTTTATTTAGTGAGACTGCTTTAAATCTTTATACATTGATAATTATTCTCTTTCTTCCTACATTTCCGGTTTGTTTGTGACTTATATCTGATATTCATTGGCCACTACATAGAAGTTTCCTCACAGAGTTCCACAATCTGGAAGTCGGTTGTCTTGAAAATTTAAATTTAGTTGTTGCTTTCATTATTGATTTATGATTAAGTTGGTCAATTTCATCACCCTTTTTCAAAAAGAACTCTTTGACTAGTTTCCTTCTATTCTTCAATACTTTTAAAAGTCACGTGTTCGGAACCAAGGAAAAGTTGAAAAGATTCATGTACGTAAACCGGAAGGTAAACCTTAATTTATGCCTAGGAAAAATAATCCGATCCTGAGCATAAATGTGTACACTTGAAGTTGGTTCTAACGATTAAATGACAAAAAGGAAATAATGATTAATTTCGAGACACGAATTTCGGAAACTGATCGGATCTAATCATATACGGAGTAAAAGTTATTTAATTTAGGAACATGAGATTAGAAAAGGGGTTTGCTTCGTGCACCTCCAAAATGGCTATGCGCACCCCAATTTGGCATAAATGTCCTCGCTTAATTTTTTTTATAGTAGAACTAATCCACATACGTATTGTATTATAGGCAAATCACGGGAGTATCATAGGCAAATCAGTACACTTTTAATCCGAGTTTCAAATACCGAGCATATTTATTTTGTGCAAGAATTATTATATTTATATAAGTACAAATATAAAACAAAATTACAAATTGGATCACATAATTATAAAAAATGATTACTCTAGTCCAATATAAGACGTATGATAATAAAGAAAAATGATTACTCAATGGATAAATATTTTTGTTTCAAATCGTACAATAATAATAAAAATTAAAAATGAGACAATCACTTTAAATAATACAACCATCACACATAACCAATAATAGTACATACTTTTGAAAATAGTTTTTTATAATATCAAATATTTGATAATATATATCGGCGCTCCGCCCCGCTCTTGAACCACCGCTCTGGAGCGACCACGGTGATAAGGTTTGGAAGATATACTTCAAGAATCCTGGCAAGAAGAAACTTGAAGTATTTGTCAACTATTTTATTTTTTTATGGTCTTACTTTCACGTTAAGTTTGTTTATGTTGCTCTTTATTTTGTTGATGTCTTTACTTTTAGGTCTACAATAAGAATTTACAATTCAGCTAGATATTATGTCATGTCGTTAGAAAGATCTATATGATCAATGATTGTTGTGTCGCACCCGTTTGGTGGTTATAATTAACGATTTGTATTGCGCATGCTCTTTCTGGGGTGATCGTTTATAAGACTAACTGTATGGTTGAAAGTGCTAGTTGGTTACTGATAGTTGTTTTCAACGTTGGTCTCTTTGATTTTGTTGTAACGATCTGAATCTTAATGATATTAATATGAGTGGTTTTTCATTTCAAAACAAAACTAGAAATCCTAGACATAAAAAACTTATACCAAAACTTATACCAAAGCACCAAACAAATGTTAATTGGGAAAAGGGGCAAATAAGCCCTCGAACTAATCAAAAAAGTGCAAATAAGCCCTTTTGTAGGAGGTTCCGTCCGGTCATCGTCATTTGGGGAGGTTCACAGTGGAATTTTTTGATGAATTTTTTCGAGAATCTTATTCATCAAGTCTAATTTAGTCCTACTGAATTTCAGCTAAAAATTCAACCGGGAAGACAGTCAAATGAATTTTTGAAGATAACTGCGCAGTTAAACAACACAGTATATTTCTGAAAATCATTTGAGTGCCTTCCCGATTAATAATTAGAAGTTTATATTCATAATTATGTATCAAGATTTTGCCATAATCTAAAATTTACATGTTAGATAAAATAAAATTTATTAATATAATTATACTATGACACATATAATTATTATTATTTTGATCGAAGGTGGCTTGATTCATAGAAATAACATTCAGCAAGGTCACAAGATAATAAAAGAACCACATGTAATCATCCACTCGTGGCCGAGACTGAGAGTTAACCACCTGTAAGAAAGTAGTATAACTCGCTAGACCGAGATTGGACAACTTAAAGCCAATGACGATTATCGTAGAACTTTCAAAACCCAAACCTAATGCAAGGGTCTTATAGCATGAAATAAAATAACAAAAAGACACAAACGTCTTAAACCTGGAAATTAAACTGCATAAAAGGTAAAATATAAGCAAACTCCAAAGCGTGTCGATCAACCCTTGGCAGTGGTTCTAGAGGAGGCCTGACCCTCGGGACTATTGTTGATGCACCAATCACTGCTCGGCTCTCCGTATCTGCGCCATCGCCAATCCCCTGCTTACCAACGCCAGCCATCTCCATCTGCAATCGTCTTCAGAAGCGCCCCTGACCAAATCAACAAAGCTGCCTTGCACCCAAATAAAATCTGCAATCAATAGGAACCTTCAATCCGTGTCGGCGTAAACTCCTGCCCAAAAGCCAAGCCGAAAGAGAAGCACCAAACGCCATATCAGGAAAACTCGACCGAAGCCGCCGAACCCACAGCCAAAAGCCGCTGCCGGAAAACTCTGCCGAAGCCGCCGAACCTACATCCGAAGGCTGCCTCCGGAAAAACTCGGTCGAAGCCGCCGAACCCACAGCCGAAGGCCGCCGCCGGAAAGACCTAGGAAAACCTAGAGAGAAAACGATTTTTTCCCTAATACATAATTTTAATTATTGTAACAAGAATATGACACATATAATTATGTTTAAAATAAAAGGATGATTTTTACAATAAGTTTCACAAAATCAAATAGAAGGGGCCGACTGTATCTCTTATGGAAGCTAGGTTGAAATCTTTCATTAAACTTAAAAGCTACACTACTGGTAAGTGTTAACATGGAGCAGGACAAAATTGTCCAGGCCTGGAGAAAGATCGGCGCGCCTAGCAATATAGGGAGTGCGCGGAGATCGTCCGTTAGAAAAATAAATCATCCGCTTCGCCGCAGAAGCATCTCACGCCGCCCCAGAAGTATCTCAGGTTGCATCGCCGCAGAAGCATCTCATGCCGCTTCGCCGCAGAAACATCTCACGCCGCTTGCCGCAGAAATCACACTACGGAGCAGTAGAAATATAGTCTCAACTCTCAAAAAAAGAAAGGGTTGACTTAGGAAGAGAGCAAGATAGCGCCATTAATTCTCCTTAGAATTTGACAATTGTTTTATGAGGTTCACTAAAAATGAGCACAAAAGTCTCTTTTCAGAATATTGGGGAAATAGAGAATGGACCAATCCCAATACTAGCATGACCTATGGGTTAGAATCTTTTGGAAATTCAAGGCCAAGGAAGTTTGGCATGGGATTTTGGAATCCCATTCTCTTCGTTACAAAGATCTTTGGCTGGGGGCGTAGGAGCGTCATCGTAAGAAGGTTGGATGATGGGAGAGTTTTTATCCTCCCCAAAAAGCACATCAGTTTTTTTATGGGCTTGGGCTAGCCGAAGTCGCAGACCCGACACCCGAAGACCTGGCGTCCAAATGGGTGGGACTAAGCTTCATGGCCACTTTTGCATTGATTATCATGAAAAACAAAACCAATATGTTCGAGTTGATTTAGTTTTTGACTGACTAGAAAATGTTGTTGTTTTAACCTTAAAAATTTGGAAGGCATTCATAGGTATATATAGAAGTGATCAAAACCTGAAATTTAGCTTTATTGTTTTTGAGTTTTGTCTATAGCGTCTTGATGGCTTGCAACCTGGATTTCTTGTAATAATACGCTTCAATTCAAACTATTCCACTACTAGTGTATACATTTGATAGTGTCGTAAATAGTGTACAATCGGAGTCTCTGAATGTTGAGCAAAAAAGATTAATTTAGCAACACAATCAACACTATCAAAGCTGATCATTCATTAACACTCATTTTCACATTACAAATTTCTAAATAAAACTACTCACAATTCATAATTGAGTGAACAATAGAATTGAAAAGATTAGAATTACTTGTCATTTAATGAGAGAAAGTAA